TAATTCGGTTCAGCCTTGATTAAGGCTGACCGCCAAAAAGAGCAATTTCTCTCAAGTACATTAACGACCGGTTCTTTTGGCTAGCTTGCGCCCATTTGTACCAAAAACAAGCAGATGATAAAATTGTTATATGATGTTATGATCGATAGAACATGCCGAAATTTATCTATTGCCTGAGTTATTTGCCGAGAAATATCTCTTATTATATTACGGATTTGGATTAAATTATTTTCGTTTGGAGATCAGAGCGGACACATTTTGGCGCCCCACGGGGGACCGAAAGGACAAACAGAAATTTTTTCTCGACGTCACGCTCATTTAGCCGAAAGTGAGAGTATCCATTCAGTGGACCGAGAGTACCCGTTAGGCCGAAAGTTAGCATAGCGTACCCAGTTGGCCGACAGTCGTCATAGTGAGCAGCTACCAGTTGGCTGAAATTGCGCGTTTGGCCCAAAGTGAGCGTTTGGCCGAAAATACGAAAATATCAGCTACCAGTTAGCCGAAAGTGGGCGTTTGGCCGAAAGTGGACGTTTGGCCGAAAATACGAAAACATCAGCTACCAGTAGGCCGAAAGTGAGCGTTTGGCCGAAATAGGTCTAACTGGAAGAAAGCTGTTAAATTGTTCAGCTGGCCCAAAATTGTCATATTGTGCGGTTTAGCCGAAAGTCGTCAGAGTACCGAATTAGCCGAAACTCGTCACAGAGTTTACTTGCCGAAAGTGGGTAATTGGGCAAAAGAGCCGACAGACGACATAGCAGACAGACGAAAGAGCAGACTGAATAGCGGAGGAGAGGCCTAATCAGGTGTCCTGATTGTTGACTTTTGAGCTGTGTTTTTCTCGACACCCGAAGTTTTGGATTTTTCTCGGTGACGCCAATCTCCTATTAAAAACTGTAAGAAGTTTCCAAAGATTTTAAAACTTTCCATTCGTGCTATAAAAATTTATAGGCTGTCATACATGTTGAAATTTTTCCCGCAAGCTAGCACCCGATAATTTTTCTCAACACCCAAAATTTTTGGACAGTTCCGTTGAACTGAAATCTCTTACAGTCGGGACATAGACGAACTGATTTACATTTTTTTTCTCGATACCAAAAAATTTCGGATATTTATGAACGTAATAATAATCCGTGATATCGGAACATAGACAAGAGAGACTGGACTCGTTTTTTGGATTGGTTTATGACTCGAACCAGCTGACCAAAAATTTCCGAAAAAATTTGTGAAAAAAGTTTAAAAAAATTACCAAAAAATCCACAAAACGTCCCAGAGTTCTGCAGAACTGTGCTTTAAGATGACACCAACCTTATATTAAGTGGTCTGGTAGCGAAATATTAGGCAAATTAAGCTGAGTTTTTTCATCCTCAGGTCTCTTCCGTGTGTGTTGTTGGAACTTAACCAAATTGCCTGATCCCCCGCCCACCTTTTGTGAAACTGAAAGCGAGTTCGCTTCAAGTAAATCAAAGCCGTTTCAGCCCGTCCGATTATTGACTTCGTTGCGGGACAGTATTGTTAAGTGGTCAGGTACGGTGATATTAAGTGAGTTAAGCTGAATTCTTTCATCCTCAGGTTTAATCCGTGTGTGTTGTTGGAGTTCAACCGACCTACATAATTTTCCAACTCCAATGATCCGGATTAATTCAACCCATTTCAAAAGTAGGAACCGATCGGACTAATGATTGGGAAGACTCTGTTACTTCACAGGCACCTCCTGACGTTGCTAGTGCGGCCTTCACGCCTGTACCGATTTCGTCAGAACCGACGACTTCCGCACACCTCGCTCATGCAACAAACACAAGTTATAGTCATAACCATGAGCACACTGCCTTGAGTGACCCTCGAATCCATAGTCATGGACATCGGGCTATGCCTCAATTTGGCAGTGAAAGCTTTTTGCCATTGCAAGCTTCTGTTCCATCTGTTTCAGTCCCAGTTAACAATATTCTAGTGCACACGTGTTACCACCACCGTCTGCTCTTCCTTTACAGACCATGAATTCAAACAAAACTAATGCCATCGGGCAACCGGAATCATTACCTGTCCCAATGTTACCGGCACAAACCGGTTCTGGTTTTGTTTTTTTGTCACCTGCATTTGCTGGTGGTGGCTTCTCATCTTCTGGAGTAAACCCAACGCCGGTTTTTTTTCGGCACCCAATTGCCATGCAGCGCCAGTTCAGACGCAACATAATGTTCCCTTTGTATCGCATACTGTGTCACTCAACATCAACAATAATTTTACAAGTGATGCAAACTTATGGCGATTGGCAGCTACAACTCCAATAGTCACGCTTGTTCAGTGTTGTAATGCTGGAGGCATTTTTTCTAATGTGACAACTGTTGTCCCACCGTGTAACACCGCCGCCCCGTATACTCGTGGAGGGAGTGTGTATTTCAATACTCCCCCAGTTCATCCACAACATGTTCCGCATTTTGTCAATCATACTAATACTGGTTATCAGCCAGTCAACGAAGACTGCTCACCGTCTTCCGCTTATCCCAACCAAGGTTGTTTATCGGATCGACCTCTCTCCGCTCGTGAACTAGCGGAATTATTAACGCATAGCCGCAAAGATCATCCTCCTGAGTGGAAGTTAGCGCAGTTTGACGGCAACCCGTTAAACTGGCACGAATGGTTTGAACAGTTTAAGTCCACCGTTGATTCCGCTGTTCTCACAGATGATAAAAAACTGACATACTTGAAAACACTCGTCACAGGCAAAGCAAAACTGCAAATGCGGAGTTTAGTTACAGTGGCGTTATGTACAAGGATGCACTGGCCAACTTGCAACGGAAGTTTGGGCAACCACACGCTATTGTTGGTGCGCATCTTGATGAGCTGAATAAGTTTCCTCCACTTAAGATGCACAATTTGGAAAATGTCATTAGTTTATCCTCTGCCATATCTGACCTCGTAGCAGTTTTCAAATCATTTTCATTCAACGATCATCTAAAGAGTGTGAACCTGTTAAACCAAGCTGTTAGTAAACTTCCGCCTAACCTCAATGAAGCTTGGTCAATGCATACTGTTAGGCACAATTGGCAGCGCCCAACACTCTTGGCAGCGCCCAATAAAATTGGCAGCGCCCAACACTCAAATTCGGTTCCTTCTTGTGATGTTGATAATTGCTAGGAGACATCATCTTCCTTCGTCACCGATATCACATCCATTAAACATCCCGAAAACGGGTTCAATTGGGAAAGGTTCAGTTTCTTTACGAGATATAAACGAGTAGTCGCTTTTATGTTGAGGATTCTGCCTTCACATAAGCATTTTCGTGGTAAGGACTTACGAATCACCGACCCCACTGAGCTTGATATTGCAGAAAGCAAACTGATTCATCTTGCTCAGATGGAATCCTTCCCCGTTGAGTTGAAAACACTCATCGCTGGCAAACCTATTAAGAATAGTAGTAAAATTGCCATTTATTCGCCATTTATCGCTCCCGCTGGTATCATTCGTTCCACCGGACGGATCGTGCACTTAGTGAAAACCGAGTTTGATACTAAACATCCAATATTACTCGACATCCGACAATCCCTAGTTTGTTTTTTGGCCTGCAGCCTCCACCATAAGCATTTTCATCGAGGTTTAGATTACATGCGCTCCGTTTTAAATATGAAATCTGTCATACTTGGGATGCGTCGACTACATTGGTCTATCGAAAATCAATGTGTAACATGCCGTAAACGCAAAGCAAGTACCATTCAGCCTATTATGTCCGATTTACCTGTCGAACGTCTCGGATATAAGCAATCACCCTTTAATCATACGGGTGTGGATTAATTTGGACCGCTTTAACTTCTTATTACTTGCCTCACCACCAGAGCTGTACACCTTGAGATTGTACCATCTCTGGTCACCAGTTCTTGTGTCATAGGCATTAAATGGTTCATTGCGCGTCGTGGTACTCCAAGCTCAATTTGGTCGGATAACAGCACGAACTTCGTTGGTGCGGAACAGGAATTAATTGCCTTGCATCAAGAGCTGGAATGGCATGGCTCCGACCATTTTTGCACACAAAGGCTTTACTTGGAAATTTAACCCGCCAGGCGCACCCCATCATGGTGGCTCCTGGGAGCCCCTCGTCCGAAGCGTGACGCGCAGGTTTTACGATATACTAAGCAGTAGGCGAGTCACCGAAGAGCTGTTAGGAACAACACTCTGCTTAGTTGAGCAGGCTTTGAATTCGAGGCCAATCACTCTCGTTAGTACTGATTCACGTGAGTTAGAAGCGTTAACCCCAAACCACTTTTTGCTTGGACAACATGCCACAAGCTTTCTTTCGCTTTTACCTGAGGAGCACTTAGATCACAAGAAAAGGTACGTGCGAGCGCAGTCATACGCTAACGCGATTTGGTCTCGTTGGCTTCGAGAATATGTTCCCTCACTGAATAAGCGTGTCAAGTGGCACACTCATTCTGACTCCACTCTTAAGACAGGCGATCTCGTGTGTGTGATTGAGGCCGATAGTCCCTGTGGGTAAAACCCTCTTGCCCGAATCGTCAAGCTAAACTACGGAGAGAATGGTTGCGCCCGATCCGCCCTTGTTAAGACCGCAACCCGTGAAGTCACTCGGCCGACCATTAAGCTCGTTCCGGTTATTCCTTCTTCAGGGGGGAGGATGTTGCACCGCAAATATAAAACAAGAGTGTAAATGCAAATAAAATAAGACCAGATGGCCAAGCGGAAAGGGCAAAGTAACGTAACATAACAGTTGACATAGGATCGAGTCCCCCAGCTGCCCATGTATTAATATACTAAAAAGGGGGTAATATTCTACTTTGACTGTTTTTTTGGCTCTATTTCGTTCAGCCTTGATAAAGGCTGACCGCCAAAAAGAGCAATTTGTCTTAAGGACATTACTGACCAGTTCTTGTGGCTAGCTTGCGCCGATTTGTACCAAATACAAGCAGATGATAGAAATTATATATGATGTTATGATCGATAGAAAATGCCGAAATTTATCTATTGCCTGAGTTATTTGCCGATAAATATCTCTTATTAAATTACGGATTTAGTTTAAATTATTTTCTTTTGGAGATCAGAGCGGGCACAAGTAACGGTAGTACAGTTCAGCTGAACGTGTCCGCCTTCTGTTTGTACCGTGATTGCTTTTTAAGTAAACTTGAGAGAATTTCAATTGCGCTTTCCGACACAAGGCCTAGCTAACCGTGTGAAGAGGTCACTAGAGGACCAAAAAATGGGTAAAAGACAAAAAGTGAAACAAAAAACTGAAAATATTATAAAAAGGAAGAAGAAACCGTAAAAACTCAAAAAAGGAAGTGGCTTTGATTTCTAGATTAGGTGGATCAAACCTTCATATTAATTAAAATAGTATACTCATACTGTTTTCAAATAATACCGATCGTTTCAACCAAAACAGCAAAATTTCAGCAGGTGCCGGAGATCGGGGGCTGAAAGGCTTTTCAGATAGCCTTGCAACCTTGAAAAACCACTGGGAGACTTCACCGAAAGATATGACCAGACAGAAGGCCAAGTGGTTCTTAAGACGGGGATCTGAAAAACGAGAGAAGGCGCGAATGGGAACAGACTACCAGTAGGGTGATCAGAGCAATACAAAAACAAAAGGGGATAATCAGGGTGCACTGTTCAGTCAAACGGTTATCCACTTTATACTAAGATAAGTATAAAAGTGAATAAGCGGCACCCCAGTTCTGAGGAAACGTTTTTACTTGAGCACAGCTTGGAAACTGTTTCTACTGACTTTCTCGCGAGAGGTTTAGCACCCACCGCGCTTTAGGTAATTTTCGGCTTAAGTGGGGGGCTAGAAAGGGGGGAGGTTAGAAGGGGGGCTGGTGGTTGGAAGTTGTATAAAGGGGGCTACATTACAGTAATTATACAATCGATATCGTCGATTTGGTTACAATAGATTAATTAGAGTCTGGAACGATCAAGTAAAAGACTCAGCACAAGAAATGGAAAGCGAAGGTACCCGATAGTAAACTCAAAATATGGTTGGGTAACCTGGCCGGATCGGGTGGGGGGATTGGAAGTAGACAATTTTTAGAACCCAGTAGGTGAATGCCCCATAAAAACCTTGAAAGAGGGGATGAAAACGCATGACAGTCAGGAACCAGACATTTTTTTTTGAAAGATGGTCCTTGTTGACTTTGCGTTTTATTCATCTTTTTTGAATACGCAAAGTCCAAACATCTTTTTTATTCCTTTTTACTTTTTGAATTTTATTGCTTTTGGAATAGATTTTAAAGTTTTACGGAGAAATGGTGCATTTGCAACCACAAAAAAGTTTAAAAACAAGTTGTATTTCAACTTGCATTAGATTTAGAAGGAAAGGTAATTTTACGGAAACTCAGTTAATTATTGGTGAGAAAATTGGGTTTAAGGAGTTTTACACAAGTTCCGGAGGTGATACTGGGATAATGGATTGAGTATCCGAGCGCTGGAGTTGCGGGAGTTCCACACGAGCTCTGGAGGTGGTACTTGGATAGTGGATCCCAACACTTGCGTCACGGTGGTCAGGAAGTTTGTGGGAGTTCTGAAGGTAGTCCTGGGATAGTGATTTAAGTGTCCCAACACTTGAGTCCTGGGATAGTAATTTAAGGGTCCCAACACTTGAGTCCTGGGATAGTGATTTAAGGGTCCCAACACATGAGTCCTGGGATAGTGATTTAAGGGTCCCAACACATGAGTCCTGGGATAGTGATTTAAAGGTCCCGACACTTGAGTCCTGGGATAGTGATTTAAGGGTCCCAACACTTGAGTCCTAGGATAGTGATTTAAGGGTCCCAATAATTGAGTCGTGGGATAGTGATTTGAGGGTCCCAATACTTGAGTCCTGGGATTGTGATTTAAGTATCCCAACACCTGAAATCCTGGGATAGTGAATTAAGTATCCCAAAACCTAAAACCCTGGGATAGTAAAATAATTATCCCAACACTGAAAGTCCTGGGATAGTAAATTAAGTATCCCAACACCTAAAGAAAGGCCTGGGATAGTGAATTAAGTATCTCAACGCCTGAAGTCCTGAGATAGTAAAACGAGTATCACAACACCTAAAACAGGGACTACAAAACCATTAAGGGTCAATAAATGGCTCCGGGGGAAACGGGAACAACACTAGGATTAAAAAACTTTATTTCGGATTGTGCAATAGAAATTAGACTGAAATTGTTTTAACAAGAGTGAGCATTGGGTACTTTCTTACACTTTGACTATGTTTTTACATTAACACCAGTACATAGTCAGAATTGTAAATAAAGGAAAATTGTAATTCAACATCATGAAGTGAACAAGAGTGTCGTTACCGGAAAGGAGAGGAGTAGGGCAAAAGCAAAACCAGCTGTCAACACAACGGAAGCAAACACCTACAAACCCAAGAGTAATGAAAAAAACTATTTCAGTTAACATGGTCAACACCAGAAGCAACAAGGAGCAGAAGACCGCAGAAAAGCAGAACAATCAAAAGCATGTGCACGTCACGGAAATTGTTCTTGAGACGCCAGAGCAGAGCATAGATGGAGTGGAACGAAAAACGACGGAATCGACACCTATGCTGAATGTAGAAGAACAAGGACAAAGACAATTGAGTTCTTCCCCTTCTTTTGGTCCACTCTTGCTGTAGCCCGTCCAACCTATCCATGATAGCCTGAGTTCGCCTCTCCATCATCGCATCTATCTTTGTGTCAAGAGTCCCAAGAGACTGCTCTAGCTGAATTCTTAACTTCTCCATGTCGTCTCTTAAGCGTAACTCTCTCTGTTCCGCTTCTCATGTCATTCGCCACAAGTTCTTCGCTATGTGCGCGTTTATTTCTTTCCGCAGACTTTCTCTTTCAACGTGGACTGCTCTTACTAGTTCACTCATTCTTATGGACATCTGTTCTTTTTGTTCTCCTATACTGCCCACTATGTTTTTCAAGGCTTCTGCTAATGATGACCCGTTTTCTACTAGTGGCGTCACTAGTGGCGGTGTCACCCTGTCGATCCCAGGTAGCTTTGTACTGGTCGCGATTCGGGCTTTGATTCTCTGCCTCGACGTATTTTCATTATCCACCTCTGGAACCGCCGATGCGTTGCCTAGCCCTATGTTTCTATTCTCCCCAGTTCGCGTCTCCGATTTTGTCATACTCACAAAGTCTCTTGACTGGCCTGATGTGTTTGTGTCTTTGCGTATCGTTCTCACCACACCAAATTTGTCCATGGTTCCAGTCTCTCTGTCGGTGTATGCCTCATTCTCCTGGGTCGAACTATCGGGGCTGACTTGAGATCCAAAATCCACTTGCTCCTCGTCGTCTTCTTCTTCCTCCTGGGATTCACCTTCATTTCCTGTACCCACTCCCATGGTGAATGGAAAGATGTTTCCGAAAGTGTTCATCATTCTTTCTGAGAACGATGAGGACGTTGTCTGTTTCTCCGTCAAGCCTGCCATCATGGTGTTGTCTGTGGGAGATCTTCTAGTTGCGACAATTTCAGTAGAGATGTCGGACAGTTCCGACATCTCCTCTCGGTCCAGTGTCCCGGTGGAAGTGACAAAGTCCTGGCCTTGTTCTACCAGCCTTCTCTTCACTTGCCAGCCTTCTGTCTCTCCCCTCCGGTCCGTGTATTTCCTGGTTCTCATTCATGGCCTGGTCCGGATGGACTTCCACTTCTAGCATAGCTTTTTGCTCTTCTGAGGACTTCTGACTCCTGGTTTTAACCATTCTACCTGAAACCGTCTCCCCTTTGTCGATCCGGGTTCGCGTGATCCGTTCCACAAAAGGGTCGGTCATTGCTTTTCTTTGCTTTTCATGTATGAATTTCCTAGAGCTATCACCTCGTTTAGGTATTCTTGACTTGTCTAGACTCATTTTCACTTTATCACTTCTTACTATCTATACACTCAGTTCGATTGTTAGTGTCCTTTTGATCTGACTACTGATAATAATAACACAACACAATAAATTCCAAAAGTTTCTATTAAATGGTGACCACGAATCCTTGTATGATATCACGGCACAGCTTATTTACAACTTATTCTCAATAATCGATTATTAGTCGTAAGTTTTGAGAACTAGCACAGTATGATGATATCAGTCAATTTAAAAGATAGTGTATTCACTACCCAATCAAGCACAAACTGTTGATTTAAAACCAGATATAACAAAATAAGAATGTTTCTATGAAAAAAGTATGTGTGTTGCATTTTTAGTTGGTCGCAGTACAATAGTCGAGCTTGTTTTATAAAGAAAGAGCTTTCCCTGCTTGGTGCTGCACCAAACAGACAAAACTTGAAGGCAGTATTTTCTCAAGTGGGCGTCTATTGCACCCACCGAGTCCTGTGTTACCTATCTGCCTCCGGACTGCCCGAGCTAGACCTACTAAAATCTTCGGGGCAGTCACTTCTCTCAAAAACGTTTTGGATTTCAATCAACACCAATGAGTTACAAACTCCCTTTGTTTTGACTTAGTGTCGCGAATATCCGAGTTTGGACCTGTTTTGTTTTGGTCTGGTCTTTTTTGAAAGGCAAGTTACCAGTGCAGTCACTGGTTCCTAGACTGTCTCTTAATAACCTAACACCCCTCACTTTTATCTTTTCTTCTGTTTACTTAAGTCCTTAAACAAAAATAACACCCCTCCGGGTTGACAAAAAACAGTACCCCTCCGGATTGGCAAAAGTAGGACCCCTCCGCATTGGCAAAATTGAGACCCCTCTGGATTGGGACCCCTCCGGTTTTTTTTGAAAACAAGACTCCTCCGGATTGGTAACCCCTCCGAATCAGGAAAAATTTGGACCCCTCCTGATTGGGACCACTCCGCTTTTGTAAAATTAGCTTTTTTGAGACTTTCTTGATTTTCAACCTATACCCCTCCGGATACGTTCTCCGATGCTATTATGCTATTTGTATCAACTAGGAAGGGTATTTGGTCCTTCTCTAGACCCTTCGGGATTGAAGTTAAGCCTCTTTTTTGACAATTCACGCTAACGGTGAAGGGTCTTATCGCTAACCTAATTTCGGCTCTATCACGGTTTTCTGGTGCCTTTAGCCT